ATAACAAATTATGCAACAAGGCTTGAACACATCCTGTGCCAGGGAGCTTACCTCCTCACAAGCTAGTATATTCCTTTTTTTGAGAAGAAAGCCTTATCCACTTCCAGATCAGAAAGCTCTTTCAGAACTGCACTATTTATCCTTTACTTTAGAATTCCTTGCCCTATGATGTTTTCATAGTACTCACTCATAAAAACTTCTTAAGAACATTCTCTAAAGGAATTTAAGTTTGTTAGAAAATCCACGATCCTATTATACAAAAGCATTTAGGGATGGGGCCCCGCAAAGTATACTCTTTCCCTATAGAAGACATGGTTACAAAGTAAGAGCACTAAAAGACTGGGATGGACTTGATATTGTTCTCCTTAGGGACTAAGTCTACTCAACAACATAGAACTAAAGTCTTCCAAACTATCCTTTGGAAATTGAAAATTACCTAAAATTCCTGAGGAAATTATTATCTTATTTCATTCTAATTATGTTTTATAACTTTGCATATATAGTGACTTTCAGAAAAAAATAAAAGGATAAAAAGTTAATATTATTTGATTGTATTTGCTTCTAATTTTGTGTTCTTTTTCTACAGCTGGGGTCTCTACTTTGGTGATCAAGGATATATTCGGATGGCAAGAAATAAAGGAAATCATTGTGGGATCGCTAGTTATAGCTCTTACCCAGAAATCTAGAAGATCTCTTCATTTTATAACAAGTCAAGGAGATGAAAAAGTCTCTCTTAATCTTATCTGCTGTATCCAGAAGAAATGTGGGGCCAGGGATTTAGCTCAGTGGTTTTGCCGCCTGCTGCTCAAGCACAATGACCCGAGTTCAATCCCCAGTACCAAAAAACCCCCCAAAAAACAGAAGAAATGTGTCATGATCAGTGTACATTTCTCATACTAATTACAAAATACAGTTTGCCTCTTCACTTTATAACATTGCATATCTCTAAAAAGTTTGCAAAGTAAATTAATAATGTACTATATGAGAATGTATTCTCAAATGTAAATATGAGAATTAATTTACCTGGGACTATCTGTCATGTTTGTCATTTTTGATACTCTGTAAGTCTTCTAATAGGCTTTTGTAACTTCATGGGCTAATAGAGCTCAATAAATCTATCATCTCAAATTTCTAACACTGTCACATATTCTTTTCAAGTTATGCTTTGGTAACTGTTAGACTTTCTCATGAAAATGTTAGTTGTGGTACACTAGTGATGGGTTATGGAAACTGTGATGGAAAATATTAGGTTATAAATATCCTGAGGGCATATACTGCATCATTGTACATAAAAGGATTCAATAAATGTTTTTAAATTAAATCATGTTAAAGTCTAATATACAAATGGTTAGAAGTTAAGCTGTTTTCAAACACTTTGGAAGAATTATTGTTTTTATCTCTGCAGTGCTGGGAATCAAACCCAAGGTCTTCTGCATACTAGGCAAGTACTCCAAAACTGAGCTACACCCTTAGCCCTTGAAGAATTATTTTAATAATCAACACTTTAATATACTAGTTCAAATTACTTTCACCTAATCACCAACAAGTTGACAGGGCCTTTTTTGGGCAAACAGTCAACCCAAATAAACTACATTTCTTTTAAAATATTTCACTATGAAGCTCCC